CAATGGCCTCTAAGTGTTAAAGTGAAGAGGAGAGTTGCATACCTCTCACTTTAAATCAAAAACTAGAAACAATTAAGCTTTGTGAGGAAGGCATGTTGAAAACCGGGATAGGCTGAAATCTAAGTCTCTTGTACCAAATGGTTAGCCAACTTATGAATGCAAAAGAAAAGTTCTTGAAGAAAATTAAAAGTGCTACTTCAGTGAACATGAATAATAAGAAAGTGAAACAGCCTTATTGCTGATATAGAGAAAGCTTGAGTGGTCTGGAAAGAAGATCAAACCAGCCACATTCCCTTAAGCCAAAGTCTAATCCAAAGCAAAACCCTAACTCTATTCAATTCTATAAAGGCTGACAGAGGTGAGGAAGTTGCAGAGAAAAGTTAGAAGTTAGCAGAGGTTGAATCATGAGGTTCAAGGAAAGAAGCCATCTCCATAACATAAAAGTGTAAGGTGAAGCAGCAAGTGTTGATGTAGAAACGGCAGCAAATTATCCAGAAGACCTGGCTAAGATAGTTGATGAAGGTGGCTATATTAAATAAAGATTTTCAATGTAGACAAATAGTTTTCTGTTGGAAGAAGATGACATCTAGGACTTTCACAGATAGAGAAGTTATTGCCTGGTTTCAAAGCTTCAAAGGACAAGCTAACTCTCTTTCAGAGGTTAATGTAGCTGGTGACTTTAAGTTGAAGCCAATGCTCATTTACCATTCTGAAACTTCTAGGACCCTTAAGAATTGTGCTAAATCTACTGTCTTGTGCTCTATAGATGGAACAGCAAAACCTAGATGACAGAACATCTGTTATAGCATGGTTTACTGAGTATTTTAAGCCCACTGTTGAGAACTACTGATCAGAAAAAAAGATTCCTTTCAGGGTATTACAGCTGATTGACAATGCACCTGGCCATTCAAGAGCTCTAATGGAGATGTATAAAGAGATGAATGTTGTTTTCATGCTTGTTAATGCAACATCCATTCTACAGTCTATGGATCAAGTAATTTCTACTTCCAAGTCATCTTATTTAAGAAATATTTTGTAAGGCTATATTTGCCATAGACAGTGGTTTTTCTGATGGATCTGGGCCAAGTAAATTGAAAGCCTTCTGGAAAGGATTTACCATTCTAAGATGCCATTAAGAACATTTATGATTTGTGAGAGGAAGTCAAAATATCAACATTAACAAGATTTTGAAGGAAGTTGACGCCAACCCTCATGGATAATTTTGAGGGATTCAAGACTTCAATGGAGAAAGAAATCATACCTGTGGTAGAAACAGCAAGAAAACTAGAATTAGAAATAAAGTCTGAAGATGTGACTGAATTGCTGCAATCTCATGTGATCAAAGTTGAAGAGTTGTTTCTTATGAATGAACAAAGTTCATTCTTGAGATGGAATCTACTCCTGGTGAAGATGCTATGAACATTGTTGAAATGACAACAAAGGACTTGGAATATTCCATAAACTTAGTTGAAAAAGCAGCAGCAGGGTTTCACAGGACTGACTCCAATTCTGAAAGAAGTTCTATTATGGATGAAATGCTATCAAACAGCATCTTATACTACAAAGAAATCTTTCATGAAAGGAAGGGTCATGATTGTCTTATTTTCAGAAATTGCCATAACCACCCCCAACCTTCAGTAATCCCCACACTGATCAGTCAGCAGCAATAACACTGAGGCGAGACCTTCCACCAGCAAAAATATTACATCTTGCTAAAGACTCAGATGAGTTTTAGAATTTTTTTTTTTTTTTTTAGCAATAAGGTATTTTTAAATTAAGGATATACTTTTTTAAGAACATAATGCTGTTGCACACTTAATAGATTACAGTATAGTACAACTTAATAGATAACAGTATAGTGTATAGGTTACAGTGTAGTGCAACCTTTTATATGCACTGAGAAACTAAAAAATTTGTGTGATATGCTTTATTGTGATTCTTCCAAGTTATGCCCATGGCTGCTGGTTTCCCCTCACAGTCCCTTACTGTTAGAGTAGCTGTTGTATTATCTTCATAGCACTTATTATCTGAATGGTCTTGCTTGTTTACTTGGCTATCATCTCTTCTACTAGAATTTTAAGTAGCTCCATGATAGTAGAAACCATTTTGTTTTCTGTCCTTCACTGTATCTAGAATAGAGCCCAGATCATGGTACATGCACAACAAATATTTGTTGTACTTGTGGATGAATGGAATGAAAGGAGAGTGAATTTTCTAGAAGGATCTGGAAAGCTGTATATCCAAATTGTGCTTTGAAACATGTGGGCCTGGGGTAGTAACTCAAATGGTGCTAATTTCTAGATCTAATCAGCAAACTAAATGTGTGTGTGTGTGTGTGTGTGTGTGTGTGTGTGTGTGTGTACTTGTGTGTGACTGGAACCTTTAAAGAATGATATTTGTGGGATAACAAAAAAATTTTGTTTTGCCTTCCACTGTCTGAGTCCACTTCATGACAGTGTACTTTATGAATGTTCTGGTCCTCTTTAGGTAGCAACCAGTACTTGTCACTCTAAGTTTCACTTTAGTAATTAAGATGATTTAATGAAATAATTTTTTAAAACTTCAAACTTTACAACAAATGCTTTTCCTTTCTCCCAGCTTGGCTCTGTTGCAAGTGGCCAGGTTCAGTGGGCTTAGCAGATGTCTGTTTTCCCACTTATTTCTCCTCCCTTCCCCAGCTTGCTCATGCTTATTTCTTCAGGGGTTGAATAGGGCAGGAGGGAGAAGTGATGAAGAAAGTTTTTACTTGACTAATGCTGTCACTAACTCATTTTAGTGCTTGACAGGTATCTAAAGCTGACCCTTTTTCAAGAAATTCTTTTGTAGATTCTTCTGAGAATTCCCTCCCTGTTGGTGGAAATATCTTTCCTATAGCAAGTTACTTTAATGCAGGTGAATTCAGCTCCTGCTTGTAGTTGGTCACTTACAACTCCATTAAAAATATTTGGGCATTGAAAAAAATTAACTTTATTGAGATATAGTTTACACAGAATAAAATGTACAAATTTTAAGTATACAGGTTGATCAGTTTTGACAATTGCATATCCATGTGACCACCTCCAAAATCAAGATTTAAAAATTTTACCTCATGTTCCTTCCTTCTATCTAATTATAAATCCCTAGGCATTTGACAGCATAACCTCTGCTTTCTTCTGCAGAGACTCCAAACTTTCAGATGATCTCTCTGGCAAGATAAAGAAATCCCAACTAGGTCTCTCTCTTACATGACCTATATCTGGTCCATGGGTAGCACCTGTATACTTCTTGCCCTGTAAAACTATGAGAGCACAGGCCATTCTCACAACATTTCCTGTTCTGCCATAGAACAGACAGATAGCTGATTGTTCTCTGCTTTTTCAATTTTCCATGTATGAGTTAGGCATCATCCTCTGTGTCTCCCAGATACATTAATCTGGCCAAGTAATTTCCTTAAGCCTTCTCAGCTTGAACTGAAGTGGGTGGGAAGAGGGAGGAGGGACTTAAAACCCACTAGTAATTCTCTCAAAAGATGTCTCTCTAATGTCTAGACTTCTGACCCTTTTCTCAAGGTGAGCCAGACAATTAAGAGTAGCAAACTTGTTTTTCATATCATCTTTTTTTGCAAATCTTGCAAGGTCATCCCACATCACACTTCAGAATGTGGCCTTTACTGTTTTAGATTGTTAGCAGAGACTGAGATGTAAATCTTCCAGTATGCATGTAAACACCAAGAGAGGGTGGATTGTTCAGGAGCCTTGGGAGATATTACCGGTCCCAACTGTATTTTTACAAATGCCTCAGATGAGAGAGCCTGAGGAATCGTATTTCATAAAAAGAGGCCCCTAAAGCTGGACGCTCATGCCTGTGATCCCAGCACTTTGGGAGCTGTTGCCCAAGTTGTTCTTAAACCCCTGGGCTCAGGAAATCCTTTTACTTCTGCCTCCCAAAGTGCTGGGATTGCAGGCGTGAGCCACTGCAACTGACCAAAAGACATTTATTGAAGGTCTTTTATATGCTGGGAATAGACAAGTAAATCAATGATTTTAATGCCCTGTGATAAGTGTTACTGATAGAGGTGTTGTGTACAGGAAAGCAGCCGAGGGAGAGGATTGCTTGAACCCAGGAGTTCAAGACCAGCCAGGGCAACACAGCCAGACTGTGTCTCTATAATCAGTCAATGAATAAGCTGGACATGGTGCTTGCTTCTTTTTTTTTTTTGGCACCACAATGTTTTATTTAGCCTGCAAACAAAATGAACAGGTGAGGACTTCTGAAGCCGAACCATGCAAGTAATAATAAAGGGACACCAAAAAGTATTAACAGCAAAAAGAAAATCAGTTAACAAAATAAATAAAAACAAGTGTTTCACATTTCACATCAGTCCTTTGGCAGTACTGGTAGGTGTTTCTGCTTCCAACAGCAGGGATGTGAAGAAAGCCCCTGATCTTAGCAAAAGGACAACCACATTTCTCCCTGGTAGCTGACATTCCAAGTCACTCCACACCACACTGCTCCACGCAGCAGGCTTCTGTAAGCCTGATCTCGTGGGGGCCCCTTAAACACCAAAAACAAGAGGGACAGTGCAGACAAGTAAACAAAGTTTCCAGTAAGGCATCAGGAGACGCTGCTGGCTGGGCCTTTCATTTCACCAGCTCCAAGAAAAGTTTTGATTTTCATTTTCCAGCAAGCCCAATATTCAGAAGATTAACCAGCAGGCTCAAGTCAAAGGTTTGGAAGACAGTCCCACCTTTTTTTTTTTTTTTGGTAAATGTTTCATATAAAACATGAAATAAAGTTCTACTTTATAAAAAAAACTGAATATCTTAATAGTAAAAATATATGTTTGTATTTCTTTTTAAAAAGATAATTTAACAACAATGCTTCAGAAGACTTAACCCCGTCCCCACCGTCTGTCAGTTGTCCACCTGGCACAGATACATTAAGGCAAAGAATCCCAAAGAGGCGTGTCCACCTCAGCTCTGGGCTGGAGATCAAGCCGAACACATGCCGCTCCTTGCAGGTCAACAGAAAGGCTTTTCTCTCATGTTCACCGAGCCATCCTGAATCCCAAAGTAGACTCTCTCTCGGCCATGTTGATGAACAGGCCTGTGTCCACCACACCTGGAATCATTTTGATATCTGTGTTCACTTCACTCCATGTGTGTACCCGGTCAAACTTCCAGTCCAAGATAAAATTCCCATTATCTGTCACCACGGAACTGCCTTGCTGACGGCCATTCGGAGTTCCACCACACCCCCAAACTTCTGGCTCACAGCTCGGCTCACTGGGACATAGCCCATTGGGATGACCTCGAAGGGAATTCCCTTGTGCCACTGATCCCCGAAGTTCTTTGAGTCTTTCCTGAAATTAGCAATCACAGTGAAGCGTCTGGCAAAGCCAGCCACGATCTTCTCCTGGGTCAGGCAGCCTCCTCCGCCCTTGATGAGATTGAGGTCGGCATCTACTTCATCAGCACCGTCGATGGCGAGGTCAATCTCTGGGTGTCGATCCAGGTCACTGAGGGTTAAGCCATGCTGCAGGATGAGCTGGCGGGCCTGGAAGGAAGTAGGAATGCAGACGAGGTTCAGATTCTCCTGCTTCACTCTTTCTGCTATTCGCTGCACAGCATGGACAATCGTCGAACCACTTCCGATCCCCAGCACTTGGTTGTTCTGCACGTGGTTCTCTACGGCCGCGCGGCCCGCCGGCTTCTCGGCCTCCTCGGCCTTGGACATAGCGGGTGCGGCCGGGCAGGCGCAGTTGGGCTCCCCGCAGTTAGTACTCGCGCTGCCGACCCCGCCACCGCCGCCGGACTGGGCACCCGGCTTTTTAAAAAAAAACAAAAACAAAAAAAAAGGTCCCTAAAGTTTACTGGAAACTAGATACAGAAGGATGATATTCATTTTTAAAGGAAAGGGTAAAAAATAACTTTTAGGAAAAATAAAAGGTAATAGATTTTATTTATTCATTGAAAAACATTAATAATCTAAGTGCTAGAATTCTGCTGGATGACAGGAATATAAAAATAAAACAAGTTGGGTTCGGTGGCTCAGCCTGTAATGCCGCACCTTTGGGAGGCTGAGGTGAGTGGATTGCCTGAGCCCGCGGGTTCGAGACCCTCCTGGGCAGCGAGACCTCATCTCTACAATAAATCAAAAAATCAGCCGGGCGTGGTAGCGCATGCCTGTAATTCCAGGTACTTGGAAGGCTGAGGCGGAAGGATCGCCGGAGCCCAGCAGGTCCAGGCTGCGGTGGCCGGGAGCGGCCACTGCACTCCAGTCTGGGTGACAGAGTGAGGACTCCAACTCAAAACAAATAAAAAAATAAAAAACAAACAAACAAAAAAACCAAAATTCTTGCCTTCAGGGAGATCATTCATGGCCTAGCAAAGAAGACAGAGAGGTAAGGCATAATATAAATGGGCATGTGAGCGACAATCTATTCAAACCTTGGGAAATGGAAACATGAGAATGGTACAAGGTGCTCTAGTGCAAGGAAGTGCCTCCAACTCAGGACAGGAGGTTGTGTTGCCAATGAAGTCTACTAGAGGAAGTGGCCCACACTGAGAGTTAAGAGTAGATAGACATTATCCAGACAAAGGTGTGAGGGAAGTGAATTCTAAGAGGAGAGAGTAGAAAGCATAGAGGCATTATCTGAAGATTATGGAATCTTTGGGAACTGAAATAGTTTATTATGGCAAGAATGAGATTATGCAGAGCAGAAAAGTAGGCAATGAAGCTGGAGAGGTAGGCAACGGAGGCCACAAAGCCATGATGAGCCACTAAACGACATGATTTGATTTATGTCTTTTTTTTTGAGTTGGAGTCTCACTCCTTCGCCCAGGCTGGTGTGCAGTGGCACGCACACTCATGGCCACCCCAGTGTCGACCTGCTGGGCTACGGCAATCCTTCCGTCTCAGCCTTCTGAATAGCCGGAACTACAGGCATGCGCTACCATGCTCGGCTATTTTTTATTTTATTGTAGAGATGAGGTCTCACCAAGTTGCCCTGGCTGGTCTTGAACCCGCGGGCTCAGGCAATCCACTCACCTCGGCCTCCCATGCTGGGATTACAGGCTGAGCCACCGAACCCAGCCTGATTTATGTTCTTAAAAGACTGCTCTCTGTTGTGTAGGCACTGGATTGGAAAAAAGCAGAATTGGAGGCAGGGAGACCAGAGAGCAGAGTATTGCTGTGAGAACAGTGAGACTGGGGACAAACAGGAAGGGAAAGAATTGAAGACATTTCTGAGACAGAGTATGTGGAATGTAGTAATTGAATGGATTGGGTTAGGAATGGAAGAAAAGGGTCCAGAAAGACTTCCTGATTTCTGGTTTGAACTACTGGGTGGTATTGCCATCCATGAAAACAAGAAATATAGAGAGAGAAGCAGATTTCACTATTCTTTCATTTGTTCAATCATTCAACAGACTTTTTTTTTTTTTTTTTTTGAGTCAGAGTCTCACTCTGTCACCCAGGCTGTAGTGCATAATCACAGCTCATCGCAGCCTCGACCTGCTGGGCTCAAGTGATCCTTCCAAATAGTTGGAACTACAGGCGTGCACCACCATGCCTGGCTAATTTTGCTATTTATTTAGAGATGAGGTCTTGCCAAGTTGCCCAAGTTGTTCTTAAACCCCTGGGCTCAGGAAATCCTCTTGCTTCTGCCTCCCAGTGTGTTAGAATTGCAGGCGTGAGCTACTGCAACTGACCAATAGACATTTATTGAAGGTCTTTTATATGCTGGAAATAGACAAGTAAATCAATGATTCTAATGCCCTGTGATAAGTGTTACTGATAGAGGTGTTGTGTACAGGAAAGCAGCAGAACAAATAGGGCAGGTATATAAATCACTCTGAAAAATTAGGAAAATTACCTGGAAGAGAGTGGTTAATCTGAGCTCTGTGTGTGTGCATGTGTGTATGTGTGTATGTGTGTGTGAGGGAGAGAAAGAGAAAGAGAAGGGGGGGGAGAGAGAGAGAGAGAGAGTGAGTGAGTGAGTTAGGGTCTCACTCTGTTGCCCAGGTTGGATTGCAGTGGCATGATCACAGCTCACTGCAACCTCTAACTCCTGGGTTCAAGTGATCCTCCTGCTTCAGCCTCTCGTGTAGCTAGGACTTCAGGCATGCACCGTCATGCATGGCCAAATTGTTTTGATTTTTTTTTTTGTAGAGATGAGGTCTCACTATGTTGCCTGGGTTGGTCTCAAACTCCTGAGCTCAAGTAATCCTTTCACCTCAGCCTCCCAAAGTGCTGGATTACAGGTGTGAACCACCACTCCTGCCCTGAGTTTTTTTTTTTTTTAAGTACGGTTAATATCACAAAGCATAATAGCAACCATTTAAAAGTGTACAATTTAGTGATGGCTACTACTTTGACAATATTGTTCAACCATCATCTCTGTCTAGTCCCAACTAATCTGAGTTTTGAAAGGTGACTAGGAGTTTGCTAAAGAAGGGTGTAAGGGAAAGTATTTTAGGATATGAGAACAGCATGCTTGATGTCATGAAGACCAGAAATATCATGACCGGAGTGCATGCAGATGGGGGAGTGGTGGAAGACAAGGCTAGATAGGACTTAAAGAGTCCAAATTTTAATGAGATGCCCTTAAAGACTGTAAACTGGGACTTGACACGATTCAATTTGCCTTTCAGAAAGATTATTCTTGAAATAGTATTATTGATGCTTTAGAAAAGGGAGAACCGGGGGGAAAATTGGGAGATTTAAAAAAAAATTATTAAACCGGGCTCGGTGGCTCAGCCTGTAATCCCGCGCCTTTGGGAGGCTGAGGTGAGTGAATTGCCTGAGCCAGCGGGTTCGAGACCCGCCTGGGCAGCGAGACCTCATCTCTACAATAAATCAAAAAATTAGCTGGGTGTGGTAGCGCGCGCCTGTAATTCCGGCTACTCGGAAAAAACAAAAAAATTATTTTAAGGATGTGGGGTATAATTCAGGATTAGGTATGCAAGTGGTCATTGTACAGGTAAAATTTGGGCCAACCTTTGGTCCTCACTTTGCCTGGTTTGAGATCAGGTACACTTTATTTTTATTTATTTATTTATTTATTTATTTTTTATTTTTTTCATTAATCAGTATTTTTTATTATGGTTTTGTGGGGTACAGTTAAGGGTTAGGTGTACAATGACGTTTCATTCAGGCACCCTGTAGATAAGAAGTGTTTTCCCATCCCCCGACAGATATTGGTACACTTTATTAATGTTATGTGCCCCCACCCCCACTCCCGGACAGTTTTCAGCTACTGCCAATCTCTTTCTTATAGTATTATGGTAAATGTTCAGGGTCCGCTTATGAGTGAGAACATGTAGTACTCAGTTTCTGTGACAAATCACTGAGTATTATAGGTTCTAAATCCATCCAAGTTGCTGCAAAGTCCATAATTTTATTCTTCTTTATGGCTGTGCAGTGTTCCATTGTATATATGTACCACAGTTTTTTAAAAAAATTTAGTCCACTTAAGATAGGCAGCAGGGTTGGTTCCATGTTTTTGCAGTGAATAATGCTGCAATAAACATGCGTGTGCAGGTTTCTTTTTAATAGAGTGATTTAAGTTCCTCCAGGATAATCCCAGAGAGAGGATTGTCAGACCATATGGAAGGTCAATTCCTAGTTCTTTTAGGAATCGCCAAACTGTTTTCTATGGAGGTTGAACTAGTTTGCATTCCCACCAGCAGTGTAGAAGCGTTCCCTCTTCTCCGTGTCTTCACCAGCATCTACTGTTTTTTGTTTTATTGATCATGGTCATTCTTACTGGAGTTAGGTGGTATCTCATTGTGGTCTTGATTTGCATTTCTCTGATGACTAGTGAGGCTGAGCATTTTTTCACGTCTGTTGACTGCTCATATGCTTTCTTTTGAGAAACATCTATCCATGTCTTTTGCCCACTTTTTAAGGGGGCTGTTTGTTTTGTTTCTTTGGGAATGTTTGAGTTCCTTGTAGATACTGGATGTTAAACCTTTGTCAGATATACAGTTGGCAAATATTTTTTCCCAATTTGTGGGCTATCTCCTTGCTCTTTTGATGGTTTCTTTTGCTTTGCAGAAGATTTCAGTTTGATGAGGTCCCACTTGTCTATCTTATCTCTTATGGCATGGGCTTTTGATGTTTTGATCAGGAATTAGTTGCCTATTCTGGTTTCTGTAAGGGTGTCTCCTGCATTTTCTAAGATTCTTAAAGTTTGGGGCTTCACATTTACATCTTTGATCCATTTGGAGTTGATTTTTGTGTATGGTGATAGGTAGGGGTCCTGTTTCATTCTTCTGCATGTGGTCAGTCAGTTTTCCCAGCATCATTTACTGTATAGATTCTCTTCTCCTCAGTGGTTGTTGGTGGAGGCTTTGTCAAAGATGAGTTGGTTGAGAAATTGAGGTTTTGCTTCTGGAATCTCTGTCCTATTCCATTGGTCTATATGCCTGTTCTTGTACAGATTGTTTCGATTATTGTAGCCTTATAATAAAGTTTAAAGATTGGAAGTGTGATACCTCCTGCTCTGTTTCTTTTGCTGAGGATTGTTTTGGCTATTCATGGCCATTTTGTTTCCAAATGAATTTCTGTGTTGTTTCCAGGTCTGAGAAGAATGACATTAGTAATCTGTTAGGGTATAGTGTTGCTGTTTCCAGGTCTGAGAAGGATGATGCTGGGAATCTATTAGGGTATAGTGTTGAATCTGTAGATTGCCTTTGTTCAGAAGGACATCTTAACAATGTTGATTCTTCCAATTCCTGAGCATGGAATATTTTTCTATTTGTTTATGTCATCTTTGACTTCTTTTTTTTTTTTTTTTAGTTGGAGTCTCACTCTGT